GGTGTGGCAGCAGCATTCGCGGCGACGACGGCGCTACCGCGGCGTGCTCGGTCGCTGAAATTGGTTACACCGTGAAGCAGAATTTCTTGCAAAACTTCGAATTTTAACAGGATAACATAGCGATCGATGCGCCCCCCCTCGTGCATATAGCCCACCTGGTCACATAGCGCCATAAACCTTCTTGTGTAGTCTTGGACGGATCCGTATTGACACCATGTGCGCAGCTTCTGACGCGCGGATATTGACGCCGCGATCGGCTCAAATCTCCCATGCCCACATACGACGCATCCCACGTGCGTTATTGGGTGACTTCGCAGTATGATGGTGCCTAGGGGATCGTGGGCCCGGACGGTCCCTCCCCTTGCGGTAGCAGCGAAGTGACGATGACACGCCACCAATCCATGGCGAGTCTGCGTAGTAACGACACGGAGTAGCGAGTTTTGACCGCGTCCGACGTGACGTATTTGGCGTTGGAAAAAAATGTAAAAAAAAAAAAAAAAAAAAAAAAAAAAAAAAAAAAAAAAAAAAAAAAAAAAAAAAAAAAAAAAAAAAAAAAACGGAAACAAATTTACTGGGAAAATCCACAATTGAACTGTTGGACCGTCCCATTGAATCTGGTCAACGCACGGGGGGCGCTAAGGCTTGAGTGACATGGGTGACGCAATTGCCGAGTCATCATTTTAGACCATGATATTGAACTGGCAACGATCCCCACGCGGTAATTCGGCCACACTCGTCCCTTCGTGGGTCGTTCCGTGTACGCGGCGAGTGTTTTCACGCGCGGCGCCATTACTGGCCGAGCACTGCCCGACATTCTCGTGTCGGGGTGGTGTTATTGCTGTTGGTGCATGATTTGAGACGCGCAGGAGAGAGTATTGTTCCGCTGTGACCATGTTGATTTTAATGCGCTCTCATAAAGTTGCTTCATTATCTCGCCCGGGCGCTCCTGCATGAGCTCAGTAACGTTGATGCGGTCTTCCATGCCGAAGGACGTCGACTCTCCTAAGTGCTAGGCGCGGTCGTAGCTGTACATGCTTCCGTGCGGGCACGAGGACAGCTGCTCCTTGTACGCTAAGGGCGTTCGCTCATTCGTGTGAAAAAAACAACAGGTCGAGAGTGATGGTTATGGAAAAATGCGCGATCCGAATGGAAAAGGGCTCTGAATACCAAGTGTTACAAGTGGAATTGATCAAGCGAGCGAGGATTGCACTAAAGATTCAAACGAGTAACATGTGAGCGAAGGCATGATCGAGCATATATAACGAGAACAAGTGAACAGAAAACGCGGGCTTGCGAGCTAGCTTGTGCGATGCTGGTAGTGAGGCTCAGGCTAATCCCGAAGCTACGGAGAGTCAATTTACCATGGGATGTGGACTATGCTGGAGGGCACGGGATTGTACAAGGTGATCGCATCGTTGCTTACGATTGTGCGATTTTGTGTGTTCACTGGAAAAATTGGCAAGAGTTTCACTAAGAAAGTTGAAGGAACCTGGCTTATAAAGAGGCATGCAAGTCGATATGACAAGGAAGACATTGCAACACCTAGCAAGCATTCTGCAGGGCGACATTCAGCGTAGCAGAAGGGTGACGTGCCAACGCTGCAGTAGGGCGTCTTGCCAGCGTTGGCACCGAAAGCAGCAGTCTGTCAGCACTGCAGTCGCAGATGAACATGTGTGCAAGTGCGTCACATGCGGAAATTTCATAGTCGAGCAGCTTCAGTCGACCAATCCAACGCAATTATGTCGAACAGCTTTCAGAAAGGCGAATATTGTCGAATGGTGCTCGTCGAAATGTGCGCGTTGACCAGCGCGTTTCGACGGGCTCGTCGACCAGTTATTGTCTCCGGGCTCGTCGTCGACCATTGTTGTCGACTTGCGACGACGTCAACTGAATCCCGTCGAGAAAGGCCTGCTCGACCATCACCTTTGTCGTCGACCAGCAAAGGCCCACTCGATGACAAATTCGCCGAGTTCTCGTCGACAGCGGGATTGGCTGCACCCAAGCGAGGGCGGGGCCTTTCTCTTTGATACAAGCGTAGGTCGAATCGGCCAATCCCAGAAATGTGAGGTTTGGTAAAAGGGATGCGCTAAGTGGCGAACGCTGTTATGTTGTAACAGGAGAAGGAACGGTTCGGTGTTGTATGCGTTGTTCAAGTGTGCGGTAAGGAATCCTTCTTACAGAATCCCTTATACGGTAGTTACATTACAAAATGTAGCATTTAGGCGCTGTTCTGTAGGCGTTAAAATTCCAAAAACTGGGTCCGCAGAATCTTCGTTGATAAGTGGTCTTCTGCCTATCAAGGTTTGGTGATAAGAAAGGTCCTGCCGAACCTGTTTGCGCCAAATTTAACGCATCAGCCTGCAGAACGCCACTTTTGGGGCGCACGATTTTAACCGTCTGCAGGTTCGAAGTTGTTGCTTCGCACAACTAGTGCGGTGCTAATTCTACCTCGGGAGCTAGCATCAGCCTCCGCACATGTTATGCGAGGCAGCAACATCCGCGCAACGCAACCAGCATGAATGCGCCTAGAAAATGCACGGAAGGCTACCGCGGTCAAATTGGTGTGGAACCCTAAACGCCTGCAGAACAACGCCTTACCAAACTATTCCATTGCAACCCAAGCGCAAGTTCCTTGCTGGTGCGCACACTCCCATGACCCGTCCCATCTCTCCCTGGGCCCTGTTCTGTTGGCGCACAGGCCATTCGCAGCTGCCGCACAGGTACTGCGGACATCGTTTTCCTCGAAAGGAAGAGAGGGCCTGCAGCCTCGTAGAAGGGTTTGCTAATCGACAAAATTACGAACTTTTTTCTCCCGTGTGCCCGAAAAAATGTTGTTACACACTGCCCTGCCACTCTTTCAAAGTCAAAATTTCGCGAACCGATGCACTGGATGGGGCAGTCTTACGAATTAGCCGTTGGATTGTTTTTGGGGTGAGTATTCCACCGAAACAATACCCCAAAACGGGCGTTCATGTCTGCCCGTTATTTGTTGTGCGTCTCTTCAATCCCCCCTCGACGAGCGCATAGGGCTCGCACAGGCCATGCGGGAAATTTGCCTGTGAAACCAAGCTCGTGGAAATTTCTCAGCGCACAGAGAGTTCAGCGTTCTTGCGCACGCATGAGTAATGCGCGCACAACTCCCGCACCAGAGGTTCGGGAGACAATAACGAGTTGGGAGGCTCGACATGGGTTTTAAGCATTGTTATGCGCATTCCGAGAATGTTCAACGCTAGGGCTGAGCACCCCTTATGCGCCAACAGAACAGGGCCCTGGCGTCGTTCTGTAGGCACCTGACAATTGGGGGTGGAGGGAGGGTGAAGGGAAATGAGGAGGGTTCCGAGAAGGGTTCCGATGTCGCCTTTCCCCACCTGGGCAAACATGCACGAAGGCAAAATTTCGCACCGTGGGGCGGAATTTTCCCAAGAGAAATGACGAAGTGCGCGCTGAATTTCGCGCGCCCAAGAAAGGGATAATTCCCTGTATAGTGTATAGTGTACCCAGGGTACTTCGTACAGCGAGGGTAATTTATACCGAAAATCGAGCCCCAAATCGAAGAGGGCCTCCAAGGTGGTTGGGGTGTGTTTTTTTTTACGATTTGGGAGGTGCCACCATGGTTAGGTTAGACCGTGTTTTCCTGTGAGGTTTTTTTGGGTGGGATGCTGGTGTTCCCACGCCCAGCTCCTCCCTCCCATCACCATCGCACTTCCCCGTGAAGGGTGGTTGGCCGATGGCGGGGCGAAGGCAAACAAATTTGCCTGAGGAGGAAGGTGGTGAGGGGAAACAGGAACCTTCCTCGTGGGGCATTTCCCTGATGGGAAATGACTGTTCTGTAGGCATTTCCCTTCGATTAGGTTCGGAAGGGAAATGACTGCCACGTCAGCATTTTCTGGTCTGACCGCCATTTCGAACCTAAAATTGCAGAGGCAGGCAGCTTCCTATTTTCCCTCCCCTCCCTCCGTGATGCCTACAGAACAACGCCCCTGTGTTCTCTTGCTGCCTGTGTTCTCTGGCTGGCTCCTCCAATGCGTTGGGCTCTCCACTACCTTTCCCCCCCAACTTCCTCCACCGCCCTTTCCCCCGAACCTCCACCGTCCAAACCTCCCCTCTGACCTTTTACTCCGCACCAACACCCCCCCGCCATCCCACCTTTCCACGATAGAAGAGTGGCTGCTTTCACCACACCTTGAGAGCTCAGCCAATGGCCATGCGGCGGAGGATACCTATCACTGGCACCTAAAACTTGCCGGCCAACTTCCCACATTGTCCCAATTTTGGTTTCTCACATTTTTTTCCTTCTCGATTCTCGCGTATTCGACTCGACCATAAAAGCAGCAACCTCGCATGTCCCTGTGTCCACGCCTTCGCTTGTACTACCTTTGCTGATGATTTATTTATCGCTCGCGTACCTGCGAGTCGTGAGCAATGCGTTTGGTTCGACGACGTCTTGATCCCGAAAAACTTCACCGCATTCACTTCGAACAAATAGTGTGCTTCTGCTGAACTAAAAATGGCTCCTTGATCTTGCCGTTACTAGTTCATTATTTCCACACTGGGACACGTCAGCTGTTTCCAGTCGCAGACATGCCAGGTAAGCATCCCTTGATCGGTACCCGCGCCGTCGCGTGTCATCGCACGTCTTAGCCGCACTCGCTGCGTTCCGTATTCCCGACGTCGCGGCTTCTGCGTCTCATTGTTTTGTCCTGGCGGGAGGGTAAGGCTCGAAATCGAAATCAGACCGAGTCAGTTCAGCTGTATAGGAATGTGCGTATAACGAATGTCTGGGAGCTCAGAGACGGCTCAGAAAGAGCCAAGGTATATTCCGTATTGTGCGAACGGAAACAAGGTATCCGTCGCCCTGAGCTCGCCTCAGCATGCAGTTTCCTCTGCCGCCGCTGCTACTGCTGCCGCTGCCGATGATGCTGCTGCCGCCGCCGCCGCCGCTCCTGCACCACCCATCACCTCCTCCTCCTGTCTCCACTACCCCTTTTCTGTTCCAAGTCATGTATCCATTTCTCCCACCCTTCCACTCCTCTTCCGCCGTTCCCTCCCCTCCTCCCCACATCCTCCCCCACTCCCCATCCCCACTCTCCCTCCCCCTTCCGCGCGCAGGCCGGGCAACAGTGCAGTACCCAGCGGGCCGGCTAGCGGTGGACGAGCTGGTGGTGCTGCTACAGCCGTCCTCGCCCGGCGACGCGCACCCCGACCAGCAGTCGCAGCAGCAGCAGCATGCCCAGCAGCACCCCGGAGACGACTCCGCCGCCCGCTTCTCCCTCCAGTCCATTTTCTCCGGCGGAAAACCCGTCCCCGCAGGGCTTCCGCCCCCCGCGGGAAGAAACGGCCCGTCAGATCTAGATGCGGATTTGGACGATGACGGGGGCGGGGGAGGGGGGGGCGGAGGGGGAGGCGGAGGCGGGAGCGGAGGGGGAGGCGGGCAGGGGCAGGGGGGAGCGGCGCTGCGGCAGCTGTGGACGTCGAATTGGCTGGAGGAGAGCGGGGTGGTGGTGGCCGTGCCGTCGTGCTCTGACCGCATGGCTGTTGCTTATGGCTCCACTCTTGTGCTGCTCGATGGACTCGTCGCGGCGGATATGGGGTGAGGGTGGGTGAGGATGGGTGAGGATCGGTGGTGGTGTGTGCGGGGCGTGGGGCGCGGCATGCATCCGCCATAGGACTGCCGTCACGCGATCAGGAGAGTGCGATTAGGTTCTGAGTGGCTCTGGAGGGATGGGAGCGGCAAGGGTGGGAGGAAGGGTAACTGACGTGGCATGGGCGGATTAAGGAACGGCTGAGGTGAAATGGAGAAGGAAGAGGAAGAGGGGAGTGATCACAGTAGGGGGGGCATGCGAAGGGTGATTGGACGAAGGAGGGAGACTAGGCAAGGCGACGGTGGCAGATACAAGTGAAGGGGAAGTGGGGAGCATGTTTGGGCTTGGTTGTGGGATGGTAGACGCAAGGGCTGGGCAAGGACGAGGGGTGGGTGACTTGAGGGAGACAGGTGAGTGTTGAGAGTCGAGACGAGACGTCTCAAAGGCCAGCTTTGGAACTCTTGAGAGACGTGTCAAAAGAGAGACGCGTGGGCAGTGCAGAGGGACGGAATGAGTGAATGAGTTGATGGGAACAGATGAGTGCGGGAGCCTAGGGGAAGAGACAGGCCAGCAGGTCATGAGGAGACAGGCCACTGCGAAGTCGAGCAGGGAAGGGCAGGGGGGACGGGGAGGGGCAGGATGGGGGCAGGGAGGGGCAGGGGGGGACGGGGAAGGGCAGGGAGTGGCAGGGAGGGTTAGAAAAGATCAGGGAAGAGCAGAGAAGGTGTTTCGCGAATGCTACACCGTGTCTCCTTGCAGGGACCTGCAAGTTTCACTCGGGCCAACTCCCACTTTCCCTTTCGCCCTCTCCCTGTATACCTTCAGTCTGTACTGTCTTCTTCTTGTCACTTCCCTTCCCGCCCTATGCTGCATGCGCCTGTGTGTCCCATAACCCGTCCCTTCCCCACGCGACCCACCACTGCAGGCAATCGGACCCTGTGGTGATCTCCCCCGCATGTGACCGCAGCGATCGCATCACAGCCCTTGAATGGCTCTTCTTCGCCCCGCCTCCCTCCGCCCACACTGGCGCACACACCCCTCCGCGCTCCCCTCCTGCTTCCGCCGCCACTCCCCCTAGCCCGCCCCACTTGTCCCGCTCCGAGCACCCAGACTCCTCTTCCCAGGCTGACTCTCAGCAGGGGGAACATGATTCTTACCACCAGAATCATGCCCACAGCCAACAGCCGCAGCAGGAGCATCACCAAAACCACCACCATCATCATCATCATCAGCAGCAGCAGTCGCTGCTGTGTGTGGCCGTCGGCACGGCTGCGGGGTTCCTCCTTATTTATGCTGACACGGGCGTGCTGCTGGCTCGACAGGTGCGAGTGAGACGGAGAGTGAGAGTAAGAGTGAGTGGCAGTGGAAGTGAGTGCACTCTTCAAAGTGAGGGGTTGAGTGTGAGCGTTTTTCTAACAACTTCCAAGTGGCAACCTTCACTTGCAGGCATGGCCACCCACCCCGTACCCCCCACTCCCCACTCCCCCCACATTTCCCACCCTCACCACATGCCTCCGCTTCTCATCCGTCCACACTCCCCCCAATCCCCATCTTCAATCCCCTCTCTTCCGCACAATGTCCCCAATGGCCCCCCAGATGGTGCACACACAAGCAGTGCTGTGCTGCGGCTTCTTCTGAGGCGCCTCAAAAGTCCCCACTCCTTCTTGTCCTGCCCCCCGTGCCCCCCCAGATGGTGCACACGCAGGCGGTGCTGCGGCTGCGGGTGCGGGGCGTGGATTCAGGCATGGTGCGCAATGATGGGTCTCAGGAGCTTTCTGTCGTCACCAGGAACGCCACCGCCATCGTCAGCCCCCTACAGCTGCTCGTGTGTGCCCGCTCTCTCTCCTTCTCCTCCTTTGACCCTTCGTTCGACTCTTCTGTCAACTCCTCCTGTGACGACTCCTTTTAACTTTCCTTTGCCTTCTCCTTCCCCCCCCACTTTCCTCTAACCCCACTTCCCTCTCCCCTCACCCGCACCCGCCCCGCCCTCCCTCTTCCCCTTCCACTACTGCGCTTCTGTCAACTCGACCCCGCGATTTCTAAAGTCCTCTCCCTTCCCACCTTGCTTCTCCCAACCCTGAATCCGCTCGTCCAGCTGTCTCCACCCGCCCCCCGCATTCTCGTTCCTCGTACCCCCCATGGCCCATCCCTCTCCACCTGTCCCCACCCGTCCGTACCCACCACTGCACTGCACTGCACTGCACTGCACCTCAACACCCACTTACCCACCCACGCGCCCACCCACCCACCCACCCACCCACCCAACCACCGCCCAGCCTCTGCTGCACCGACGCCTGGAGGCCATAGCAGCAGCGTCCGCCGTTGCCGCAGCCTCCGCTTCCCGCTTTGCATCGGCCTTCAGCTTCATGGGCGGGCCCAAGCGCAGCAGCCGGGAGGAGGAGGCAGGGCACGCCGTGCCCATTCCGTTCCTCAAGTGGCGCACGGGGCTGGGCAGCACACGGTGGAGCGACGGCGCTGTTGTCGGCATGTTCCCCTCGCCTCTCTTCAACCCCCAGGTGGGTGGGGTGGGATACTCCGCACTTGAAAGTGCGCGCGAGCAGACCAGAGAAGCGCCTTCGGATCTGAGGCGCCTCAGGAGATGACGCTGTAGCTTGCGTGCATGTTCCCCTCACGTCTTTTCGACCTGCAGGTGGGATTGCCGTAGGAAGGGAAGAGAAGAGGCTGCGTGGTTGCGTGCTGCTTGCCGCCTGCTTGTCTTGCTTTGGTTTCTTGTTCCTTGCTATGTGCGTTGCCGACTTATGAGTCACCCAGGTTTTTTATTGCCTGATTGAATTTGTTCTTGCCTTGTAGTTTCTTCGCCCTTTTTCCCCTCCTGTGCGGGTGCCACTGCACTGTATCATGCCCATCGCCCTGCTCCCCCTTGCTATTCAATACCTCTTGAGTGTCCTGTGCAGGCGGCCCTTCAGTCCCTCTGTGTCGTGGCCGTTGGCCAAAACCCCTGCATTGCTGCATTCGCGTGAGTACAGAACAGGCATTCTGCTACCCTGACCTCTGCTCTTTATCGTGCTTTGCTGTGGTCTACAAAAATCACTGCCGGTTTCCTTCTGTTATTTCATCAAGCTCAATCATTTGCTTTGTCTATTGCAACCTACCAGCGTTGAGTCAATTTCCTGCTAGTATTTCCCCTTTGCTCCCCACCACCTCCTTCCGTTCCACCCCATCCCCCAACCTTCAGAGCAACGGATGAGCCACAGTGGGAGCAGCTAGCAGCATCCATTCCCTCTTCCTCCACCCCCTTCCAACCACTGAAAACTCTCTCAAAAGCTCCCATACCATTCAGCTCCCTCGTCAACCTGTCCTCCTCTCCTCTACTCCCCTTCTCCCCCTCTTCCCTTCTCCCCCCCTCCCCTCTCCCCCTCCCTTTCCTCCCCGATTCCCTCCTTCCGCCCTATCCCCCCAACCCTTGCAGAGCGACCGAGGAGCCAGAGTGGGTGCAGCTAGCTGCGTCCATAGTCTCGTCCTCCGCGCCCTCCAACCCCACGCTCCTGGCTCTCGGCATCGTGCCCCGCATGTCCGTTCAGCTGCAGCGCAAGCTCAGCGGTGTGCTGCTCAATGAGATGGCCGCTGGGGGGCCTGCAGGGGGAACAGCCGCAGGGGGGAAGGGGGACGCTGGTGGGGAAGGTGGAGGGGGAGGCGCGGGGAAAGGGGCGGGTGGAGGGGAGGCGGGAGGGGGAGAGGAGGGAGGGGGTGCGGCAGGAGGAGGAGCAGTGGCTGGAGGCGAGCAGGGGGCGGGAGGGAACAGGATAGGCCGTAGCACCAGCAGTGGCAGCGGCAGCAGTGGCGGCAGTGGCAGCGGCGGTGGTGGTAGCAGCACTGGTTCTGCTAGTCACAGTGTGGCTCGTTCTGTTTCTGCTGGTCCCACTCATACCAAGTCCAAGCTTCCTCCTTTCCCCCCATCAGCATCAGGACACCACCACTCCACACCTCCACTCCCCCCTCTCCACCCCTCTCTACCCTCTGAAGACTCCCGCTTATTCGGATTCAACCGGCTGTTCTCCCGACCGGCCCAAGACGAGCGATCTGAGCCGTTGATCCCGGCAGCAGCGACTGACGCAGGCCGTGCGACGGCGCTAGTGGCGGCGCTAAAAGACCCGCTTAGGAAAGCAACACACTTAGTGCTGTCACCCAGGGGGGCTTTAATGGCAGTGGCGGATGGGCTGGGGCGTGTTCTGCTCATGGACTCTCAGATCTTTGCCGTGCTGCGCATGTGGAAGGTTGGTGGGGGCGGAGAGCGGTGATCGGTGTTGCAAAGGGGTGGTGTGGGGTGGAGAGTGGGGTGGGGTGGGGTGGAAGAATGGTGGGCGGTGGAGAGTGGGGTGGGGTGAATGTGAGCTGTGGAGTATAGTAATGCATGTGGGAGGAGGAGGAGAGTGGGATAGGCTGTCGTTTTGTGTGGTCTTGAGGAAAGTGAGACGTCCAATAACCATCTATCCTTCTCCTCTCTGTCCTTTTGAGTCAACTCAAAAGTCATAAAGTGGGACGTCCGATAACCATCTATCCTTCTCCTCTCTGCCCGTCTCCTCCTCCTCTCCCTCTCCACTTGCAGGGGTATCGAGACGCACAAGTGGCCTTCTTTGAAGCACCTGTGGTGGACGTAGCAGGTGCTCACAGCACCAGCACCACCACCAACACTACCACCACCAGCACCTGCCGCAACGGTGGCGGCAGCGACAGTAGTGGCAGCAGCGGCAGCAATATGAACGCGCAACACACCCGTCCCTTCCGCCTGTGCCTTGCCATCTTTGCTCCTAGGAGGGAGACCATCGAGGCGAGTATCCTCTGCCCTGCCCTGCCCTGCCCTGCCCTGCCCTGCCCTGCCCTGCCCTGCCCTGCCCTGCCCTGCCCTGCCCTGCCCTGCCCTGCCCTGCCCTGCCCTGCCCTGCCCTGCCCTGCCCTGCCCTGCCCTGCCCTGCCCTGCCCTGCCCTGCCCTGCCCTGCCCTGCCCTGCCCTGCCCTGCCCTGCCCTGCCCTGCCCTGCCCTGCCCTGCCCTGCCCTGCCCTGCCCTGCCCTGCCCTGCCCTGCCCTGCCCTGCCCTGCCCTGCTGCCCTGCTGCCCTGCCCTGCCCTGCTGTTTAGTGCTCGCTGCTTGCTGCCAGTGTCATACGATCTCCCACTTTCCCCCTTCCATCACCCCTCATTATCCCCGCTCCTGCCCCACTATCATCTTCCAAGACGCACCAAAAGTCCAGTTTTGAAAATTCTCAGACGTTGGCCCTTTTGTCTTTCCCCCTTAACCCCCACTTTCCTCTCCTTATGTCCGCTCCCGCTTACCCCGTTCCTCCCTTACCTCCCTCCCTCCCCACCCCTCTCCCCGCCGTTCCTCCCCTGACGTCCCTCCCTCTTCCCGTCTCCCCACCTCTCCCACCCTCTTCCCACCTGTCCCCTCTCCCCACACCACCCACCGCCAGGTATGGCAGCTGATAACAGGCCCTCGCATCGCAGCCCTGCGCTGCAGCACCAACACGCGCCTCATGCAGCCCTCCCTGGGCTTCGTAGTGCCCGCGCACGCACCCACCCACTCCCAGCTGCAGCTGCCGAACAGCAACTTGGATTCCAGTCCCAGCCTTGGGTCTACCTCTAGCATGAGTGCCAGTGCAAGTGCAAGCCCAAGCGGCAGGGTGGATGGGGTAGGGGTGGTGGTGGTGGAGCAGCGGCACAGGGCGTTTGTGCTGCATGGGTCTTCCGGGCTGCTCATGGAGCTCATGCCCACCATCTCCCTCGCTGGCGAGTATGTCCCTGCCTCCCGTTCCCCGTCTCCATCCCCATCCCCATCCCCAGCCCCAGCCCCAGCCCCATCCCCAGACCCATCCCCATCCCCATCCCCATCCCCATCCCCATCCCCATCCCCATCCCCATCCCCATCCCCATCCCCATCCCCATCCCCATCCCCATCCCCATCCCATCTCCATTACCATTTCCATTTCCATCCCTGTCTGTCTCCAAGTCGACTAAGAGTTGTCTGTCTTTGTCTCTCTCTCTGTCTCCGTTTCTGTCTCAATCTCTCTGTGTAGATACACTCTGCCGCCAGAGAGCTGCTCAGGCGAGACAGGAGGGCGCAGGAGGGTGCGCTGTTCCACAAGCCAAGCACATACCCACCGCATGGCTCCCCATGCATTTCTCTCCCCCATACCCCTCCTGCCCCCCTGTAGGCTGGTGGGCGCAAGCAAGCCGGCAGGGCAGGCAGCGCTGCTATCCCAGGCGGACATATTCCAGCGGCTGTGCGACCTGCTCAAGCCCAAGCACCGCTTTAAGGACGCTGCCCTCGCCGCTGCCAGAGAGCTCTTGAGGCGAGAAAGGAGGGCGCGCGTGGGCACACCGTTCCCCATGCTCATCCCTTCACCCAATGTACCTGTCGCCCCACGCATTCCCCCCCACCCCCCACCCCGCCACCCCTCCTTTCCCCCACCCCATATCCCTCCCGTCCCCCTCCAGGCTGGTGGGTGCAGGTAAACCCTCAGCGCAAGCAGCGCTGCTATCCCAGGCGGACATATTCCAGCGGCTGTGCGACCTGCTCAAGCTCAAGCACCGCTCCAAGGACGCTGCCCTCGCCGCTGCTAGGGAGCTGCTCCGGCGGGCCAGGAGGGCGCGTGTGGGAGCGCGGGTGAAAGGAAGGCCTGGTAGGGTGGGTGCGGTGGAGGAGAGGGTGGATGACGTGGATGGGAAGGTGGATGGGAGGGTGGATGAGGTGGCGGAGAGGAAAGTGGTGGATGGTAGTGGGACTGATGCTGGTGCCGATGGCAGTGGTAGTGGTGGTGGTGGTCGTGTTGACGGTGATCATGGGGGGCCAAGTGCGGGGTCAGGAGCAACGAGTGAAGGCCAGAAGGACACGGATGGTGATGCAACGCAGAAGGGTAGTGGTGACAGCAACGGGGAGAAAGAGGAGGAGAAGGAGGAGGAGAAGGAGGAGGAGAAGGAGGAGGAGAAGGAGGAGGAGAAGGAGGAGGAGAAGGAGGAGGAGAAGGAGGAGAAGGAGGAGGAGAAGGAGGAGGAGGCGCAGGGGAGGGGGCCAGAGTTGGAGGAGGAAGAGGAACAGGAGGAGGTGGAGGAGGAGGTGGAGAGGTGGGGGGAGGTGGGAAGCCAGCAGTGGGAGGAGAAGGTGGTGGGAGTGCTGCTGGCTGGCCTCACTTCTCCCTTTCGCAAGCTGCAGGTGCACACTTGTTATCTCCCTCTACCGCTCCACCCCCCACCCCCCACCTCTCTCCCTCTCTCTCCCCCCCCCCCACACACACACTCATTCTCTGTCAACTCCCTATAAGAATTGTTACCATGGAAACATTTTGAGGGTTCGAAGGTCTTGCAAGTCCTTTCAACTAGTGTGGGTGGCCCAATTGGCTCCATTACGCATTGCATACAGATTGAAAGAGAGGGTTAACAAAACCAGCCCCCGTTCGCCCTCCTCTCGCTGCACCCATCCCCACCCACTCCCACTCTCTCCCAACCACCCCCCAGGTCCTTGACTTGCTAATTGCGAGCCGGCCGTCCCTCTCAGCTAAGTGTCACTTAGCCATACTGGAAGATGTTCTATGCACGTTAGAGGTCTCCCTAGCTGTCGCTCATCTGCCTCCCCCCGAACTTCCCCGCCTTGCGGACATAAGCGAGGGTGGGGGAGAAGGGGGCGGGTCTGAGGGCGTGGAGGGGGGTGGCGGAGTGAGGAAGGAAGAGGAGGGGGGGAAGGTTGGAGGGAGCAATGGGGGAGCGGCGAGTGAGAATGATTCAGGTGTGGCGACGGGTGGCAGTGGTGCGGGCATAGGTGGGGATAAGAAGGCTGGGCTAGCAATGAGTGAAGTGGATGAGTCAGGAAGTAAGGACGGAGAGAGGGAAGGGGAAGCGAAGGAAGGGGGAACAGTAGCTTCAAGTGATAACTCAAGCATTGCTGCTCCAGACGCTGCTGCTGCTGCTGCCTCTGAAACCGCCTCCGCGGCTGCTGCTGCTGATGCAGCAGCAGCACCTGCAAAGAAGAGTTGGTGGGGGTCTCTCACGTCTGCATGGAAACAACCAGTGGAGCAACCGCAGCAACAGCAAGCGACAGCTGGCAAAGACGGGTATGAGCTGCTGCCTCTGGTGACAGAAGGTGGAGAGAAAGAGGATTCAGAGAAACCGGCGGGAGAGAATGGAGTGGATGAGAGAGTGGGTGATGGGGCAGGGGAGAACAGGTCTGGGGTGACGGAGAAACGGGGAGAGGGAGAAGCGGAGGGGGGTGAAGTGACGAGTAAGGTGGCCGGAGGGGAAGGTGAGAAGCGCGGTGAGGAGGCACGTGGGGTGGTAGGAGGCAGGGCGGCAGCGGCGGCGGCGGTTCAGAGTGAGTGGTTGAGAGGGGTGGATGTGAGCAGGGTGAAGCGAGTGGATGACAAGTTTGTTCCGTTTCTGGAGCAGCGTGCGCGTGCCCTGCGGTTCCAGCACCTTCTCGTGGAGGTATACCTGCAACTGGAGAACGAAGCCTCTGCCACTGCTGCTGCTGCTGCGGCTGCGGCTGCTGGTGCTGATGGTGTAGGTGATGTTGACGGTGCTGGTGACGGGGGAGGGGAAGTTGGTGGGGGGAGGAAGGGGGAGGAGGGCGACAGGAAGTCGAGGAGAGGGGTGTCTCTGGACGGGACAGGCTTCTGGCGAAGGCTTCCTGCGCCTGAACTGAGGACCACGGATCAGGACAGAGAGGAGGAGGAGGAAGAGGAAGAAGAGGAGGAGGAGGAGGACGAGGAGGAGGAGGAGGAGGAAGAGGAGGGCCAGGAGGGGAACACAGACAGCTGGAGCGTGCAGGCGAGGGGGGCGACAGGGGCGCTGACCGATGCAATCGATGCCAGAGCAGGCAGCAGCAGCAGCAGCACGGGCAGAGCGTCAAAGGGCAAGAGGATCCGTAGGAGGTCGATGAGCGATATGGAGGCGGCACTCACGGTGTTTCGCGCCCGGTACGAGGCCCTGGTGGCTGATGTGGGCGCGTGGATTGCTGGCTGTGCCGTGGAGTCCCAGCTGAACAAGCTCTGGATGGAAGGAGAGGATGAGCAGACCAAGGCTCTGGGAGAAGAGGCTTCTGGTGGCAAGGGCACGGGGTTTAGTGGTGACGGTAGCAGTGGTGGTGGTAGTATTGTGGGGATGAGCGGGATCAGTGGAATTGGGGGGATAAGCGGGATTGGGGGGTTGGGGGAGGCGATTAGTCGGAGTGACAGCGGCGGCGGTGGCGGTCCGGGGGGTATGATCAGCCGCAGCAGCAGCAGCAGCGCGAGCCAGATGATGGAAGAGTTTAGCAGCAGTAACAGCAGCATGGGTGGCAGTAGCAGAAGCCACAGCACGACCACTTCTGCTGCCACCAGTCCCAAAGCCTCCGCCCTCTCATCTGCTGCTCAAGGCCGGTTTGCATCTATGTCTGCTCGGTCGCTCGCTGCTGCTGCAGCGGCGGCTGCTGCGGCGGCTATGCTGGGGACGTCTGCGGAGCATGTGCCGTGTGTCATGTTTGTGCGGTCCTTTGCCTTTGACCTCACGCGCAGCCCCTACTGCCACCCTGCTGCTCTAACAGCGCCCGTAACTGCTGCTGCTGCTGCTGCTGCTGCTACAGCTGCTGCTACAACAGCTGCTGCCGGTGCTGCTGCTGCTGCTGCCACTGCCGGCGCCGGTGTGTCTCACGGGGCTGACAGGGCGCTGAGCATTCAGAAGAGGGTGAGGGTGCGGTGGGGAGCAGGCACAGACCACTCCAACCTCCCCTCTGGAGCCTCCTCCCCTGCGTGCACCCCCTCCACCACTCCCTCACCTGCCGCCTCTTCTCCGTCCTCCGCCTCTGCCCTTTCCTTTGTGCCCTCCGCGTGTGCCCCTGCTCCTCTCCCCACCGCAACAGCAGCATCACCAGCGCCGTCCCAGCCAGATCCCCGGCGTGGCTCGGGTGTTATCTGGCTCTGCCGAGCGGCAGATGTGGACGAGTTAGCCGCCCTGGCAAGATTCTTTCTGGGGAGAATCTCCCATGGGACGGCAGGGCTAAGAACTTTGCTCTCAGCCATGCACAGGCTAAGGCTTCCGAGGGAGGATTGGCAGTGTCTGTTTCTGGTCTGGCTCCGCTCGGTTCCTGTTCAAGACATCCTGACCGTCGATCTCCCGGTGCTGGTCGAGGTGGTCCGTCGGATCGGATGCCGGCGGGAGGAGGTGGAAGGAAGGAAGACGGCGAGAGTGGTGTTTTCGCGGGGGAGGATGGGAGGGAGGAATAGAGGAGGGGAGAGTGGGAAGCGAGGGGAGGGAGGCCTGGAGGGGGGTCTCTCTAACAGTGTGCCCCCGGGGGGAAGGTACCCGTTGCTGTTTAGCTGGTGCCAGGTAACCGGGGCTGCTGCCAAGGCTCTGTTTCTGGCTCGGATCTGCACTCAGGTGATAAAGGAGGAGCTGCTGGATACCATACCTGGACGAGAGCCTCGGAAGGGGACAGGCACGGCACGGCAGCAGCAGCAGCAGCAGCAGCAGGCATCAGGGGGGGTGCGGGAGGAGGAGGATGCGCATGGAGGAGTGGCTGGTGGTGCCCGGAGTGGGTCTGGCAGGCTGATTGTGGCTCCTCCAAAACCTAAAGATAATGATCTGTGGATTGAGGTGAGCTTTTTCTATCTCCCACTCCCACCAGCACCGACTGAAGCAATGGCTGCACTTCACCTATCAGGCCGAGTCTATTCTGGAGCGCCTTGAAACCAGACACCTCCATACCCATCCCATTTCACCCGCTGCCCTCTTTCCCAGCACGGACTGGAGCAACGGCTGCACCTATCAAGCCACGTGGAGGATGCATGGTTGCAAGGCCAAGCCGAGTCATCATCTATTTCTGAGGCACCTAAAAGAAACACCTCCTCACCCATCCCATACCACCCTCTTCCCCCCCCCCCAACCAGCACGGGCTGGAGCAATGACTGCACCTATCAATAAAGCCATGTGGAGGACGCATGGCTGCTCGGCCTATCAATCATCTATTTATCAGGCGCCGCAAGAACACGCACCTCACCCATCCCAACTCACCCCCTGCATCCCCTGACCCAACCACCAGCACGGGCTGGAGCAATGGCTGCACCTATCAAGCCACGTGGAGGACGCATGGCTGCTCGGCCGAGCCATCATCCACGTCTGCAAGCTCTCTTCTGCCCGAGGCTATCCGGTTCGGCAGGGCCGCCTGCCGTCCGCAGCCGAGGTCCCCACCTTCCCCGTGCCTCTCTGGGTGGCTCGGTTGCAGCTGCTGCTGTCCCCGTCGGCTCTGTTCACGTCTCAGTTGCACCGGGCCCTGCTGAAAGTGGAAAGACCCGAGCTGGTGAGGGAGATGGCGAATGAGATGGTTGCACAAGTGAGGGTGGTGGAAAGGGGGAGAGGGGAGGAGCTGTTGGAGAGAGGGAGTGGGAGAAGCAGTGCTGGTGGTGATGAGGAGGGGAAACTGGGTGGTGGGGAAGGTGGTGGGAAGGGAAAGAAGGATAGGAGGAAGGTCAAGGGCAGGACAGCAGGAGGGGACGGGCCTAAGGGCGTGCATGGGGAAGAAGGGGCACTGAAGGGAACTTTGGTTTCGGATGGGGAAGTGGAAAAGGTGGATGGTGAGAAGGTTGAAGGGCGGGAAGCTGAAGAGGCAGCAGAGAAAGAGGAGAAAGCGGGAGAGGAGGAGAACGACGAGGAGGAGGACGAGGAGGAGGATGATGTTGATGAGGAGGATGAGGCAGCAGCAGAGGCAGAGGAGGAGCGGCAGAGGGAGGACGAGAGGGAGTCGGTGCAGCTGCTGCGCGAGATGCTGGACCGGTTTCCCGAGAGCTGCCATGCAGACATCTTGGCGTCGCACAGGGCCATGGAGCTGTGTCGCCAGTGGTCCACTGCTTTCTTCCAGAGCGTCAAAGCTGCACATGTGCCTCCGAAACCGCCTGCATGCGCACCTGCTGCCTCTGCTGCTGCTGCTGTTGGTGTTGGTGGTGCTGGTACGGTTGCAGGATCAGCCAGTGCGGCGGTTGATGGAGAGGCTCCAGAGCGCCTGTCTACAGACGCAGCAGCAGCAGCAGCAGCAGCAGCAGCAGAAGCTGGTTCTGCTGCTGCTGGAGAGGGCGCGGGTAGCGGCAAAGCAGAGAGCAACAAGGAGAAGGAGAATTGCGGTGGTGCGAAGCAGAAGAAGCAGGAAGGCACGGAAGCCACGACCGGACCGGGCTTGTCTATGTCGTTAGGAGGCTACGATGCAGAGCCCAGCGACCTGCTCTTCTTCTCCCACGAGCACGTCTCTCCGTTGCCCACTGTTGCACTCAAGGGCGGCATGGTCTGCTCCATGTGGCAGTCCCTCATTGGCCAGCGCGCAGCCTCAGCAGTGGCCCTGGTGCAGAGGCTCGGGAGGTGCCCGACTGATGCGGAGTGCGAGCAGTCACTGGGTAGGTCTCCGTGTTTGGACATTTGGTCCTCCGTTTTCTTTCCTTGATTCTTCCGAGAAGGGGATGGGGTTGGGGTGGGTTGCGCCCTATGCCCCTAGCCCCTTGATTAAGACATCCCGTGAGGCACCTCCAGGGATGTACTTTCAAACCCCTTTCCTGCCTCTCCCTGTCTCAACTCTCGCCCCGCTCTCCGTATCCCCTCCTCTCTCCCACACCTCAAACACACTCCCCTCCTTCCTCCACACCCACCCTCCTCCCCGCGCCAGGCATGGGCAGTGAAACCACAGCAGAAGCAGCAGGCGCGGTGGGAGCATACGAGCAGATGCTGGTTCTGCTGTACGACTGCACGCTCCTCCTTGAGTATGGGGACGGCGCAGACGAACACTCTGCCAGCCATGATGCCTTTGTCTCTGCACACGACTCCATGTGCCGGGAGGCCATCGCGGATTTCAAGCAGGCGCCGCCGTCAGCAGACACGCTGCACGCGTACATGCTGCTGATTCGAACTATTGGAGTGTCTCTTGCGCTGGATGTTCCTGTGGTGCCTCTTGCGTCCATGTTTCCGCCCGCGCTGCTCTCTGGATTTCCCGCGCTTTTCCTGGTGAGCTGGTGCTGCTGCTGCTGCTGCTGCTGCTGCTGCTGCTGCTGCTGCTGCTGCTGCTGCTGCTGCTGCTGCTGCTGCTGCTGCTGCTGCTGCTGCTGCTGCTGCTGCTGCTGCTGCTGCTGCTGCTGCTGCTGCTGGTGTTGGTGCATGTGGTTCCAGGTGGTTTGCTTGAGAATTCTTGTTGCAAAGAGTTCTCAACCAAACCATGTCATCACATCCATGTCATCACGTCCATGTTATCACATCCATATAATCACATCCATGTCATCACGTACATACCATCAAAACCCACTCCCCGCCGCCGCCCGCCCCCCACTCCCGCCAACAGACTCTTCGGCCAGATGATTCAGCTTCAGTGACAAAGCGCACAGAAGCGCGGCTCGAGTTCCTTCTCGCTGTGCTGGCCGCACAGAAGCGCCGGGCTCACCTCATGGCTAATGCTGATGCTGCATTGAACAAGCTCACTCGCCGCTCGGAGCATTTACGAGTCTATCAGCGGCGATATGCATCCACGTCTGCCTTTGCTTTGGCAGAGGATCTAGGGGTTCCCCATCAGGAGCTTGAGCGGCGGCACCATATCCTGAATTTCCTTTAGCAGCCGATAAGTGATTCGTGGTTCATGGGTTCTGAAGGTTTCGAGTACAGTAGTACGGTAATATTTAGGAAGGAAACACTGCAGTTTTGCAAGCACACTCCTGCTTTCAGAAGAGTTGAGTCTTTCCCAACATACGGTTGGTTTCGTCATAGTCTCACCACCTCTGATCAGCGTGAATTTTGGTGTACGAAGTCTTGGAAACATTCTTTAGCCCAGGGACGTACTGTAATAAACTGACAACGCCCCAGACCATTTAATACCGTATGTTTATTTTTACAGGTGCGCTGTACAATCTTATCAAATTTAGTTGTTCTTTTCCGACAGCACCCTGGGAATGTCAAACCATGCATCCGCGACAGCACGCGCAAGCGGATAGCGGAGATGTTTTCTTCGCTGTGCTGGATTCGCATTGTATTGCATGGGGCAAGAAAACAAGAACCAAGAGCGAGGTCAAGAAGACAGGCAGAGAAACAAGCACACCAGACCAGCAGAGCACACCGCACTCCCATATTCATTCACTAATCGCTCGTGCCTGCCAGCCCTGCTGCGTCCGCACGCGACGGAAGCGTCATGCACGGAGAGCTTCACGGTGCCTGAAAGGAGTCTCGACCTCTCCAATCCGGCAGCAGCTTCTCATACATATCCCCCATTTTCTTGCCTGAAAGGAGTTCCAAGCGCCTTACTACCCCCCTTCCTTGTCTGGTCGTCAACCCGTGCTGCAAACACTGGTGTCCAGCGTGGTCCGTCCGTCCATATATATCGCTGGTGGTGCTCGGAAAGCAGAACCAAGCACACACGGAACACACAGCTCCGAGTGACAACTGCGTTCATGTCTTGCCACGTGTCCGCGCTCTCAGCGCATCCTGCGTGTCCTGCTTCATGCAGCCTCCCCCCTCGTCCCTCGTCGCGTCGCGCGCAGTTTCAAGCTTGCGCGACTCGTCTCGCATCGCGCTCGCCGTGTTTCTCGTGCTGCTCCAGTCGTCGTAAAGAGCGCTCTGTTCGCAGCGGCTCGGACTCGAAGTATTTCGCGCAAATTAGAACCGCGCGAGGCGAGACAGCTGCAAATCTCATACGAATTACTCTCCAGTATTCGAGTACTACTAATAGTACATTTGCTAGTCTACATGTGAGTCGTCCTACGTCTGCTTCTTTCAGTCGACCATTAACGCCATCTTCGGAAAGGTGGTTATCTCCAGCCCTGCCAGACTCTCCCACGCCTCGTCTGCCGCGAGAAACGACGGCGAATCTTTGCGTTCACGCCACAGCTGAGGCCGCGACGTGGAGCCACAGCCTGCCACGTGTCCACGGAACCATTAACGCTTGCCGCCAGGAGCGCTCGTCATTACCGTCGCAGTCCGCCGTGCCACGTCTGCGGCAGTTTGACCCGCGAAATTGCGCCTCAGTTGTGGCGTCTGGATTCTTGAACGCACAGAAGTTGCGGTTTCGTGGCGGCAGTCTGGAAAGGTTCGGGTCGTATAAAGGCCGTGTGCAAGCACTTGGCGGCGGAGGTGGTGACTGTAACGCGGAGGCAAAGGAGCCTATAACAGGAGCTGCAGAAGGAAGGAGTCAAGAGGAATCGCCTATTACCAGCAGGAGTGCTGACGCCGGTACTCTTGACAGTGACAGCACCAGCAGTACCACCACCAGTAGTAGTAGCACCACCACCACCAGTAGCAGCAGCAGCAGCAGCAGCAGCAGCAGCAGCAGCAGCAGCAGGCAGGAGGGGAATACTCCGAGCAGCGTATCCCCTGCAGCACCCAGCAACTCCCAAGAGAGCGATTCAGGCGACGTTGCAATCGACCCAGCACACGTGGCGTGGCTGCTGAGAATCCGCCCCTCTGCTACCACCGCCAGCCCTGACAGCTTCAGCAGCAGCTACAGCTACAGTGGTGGTGCTTTCAGGCCCAGGTCCCGTTCCTCTCTTAGCAGCAGCAGCAGTGAAAGAAGCAGCAGCATGGCTTCTGGGCAGCTAGGCCGGTCTCAGGTGGAGCTAGTATCATACCTGGAGCGCATCGGTGTGCTGCGCAGGGGGGGGCAGTCCCGGGCGGCTCAGGTGATGCGTCAGGTGGACCGCGGTCTGTTTGTTCCACCTGGCCCGTGGGTGCACGCGTATCAGGACTCGCCCCAGACCATAGGCTTCAACGCCACCATCTCTGCCCCGCACATGCACGCCCAGTGCCTCGAGCTCCTGGAAAACCACCTGCAGGTGAAATATTTGCTTGTCTTCAGGCATGGAGCACGTTCAGGTGTGGAGCACGTTCAGGTGAGGAGCACGCTCAGGTGTGGAGCACGTTCAGGTGAGTTTCGACCGGAAGTGGTCCGAAACTTTCTGCTATGGGTATGTTACTCTTGGTTCAATCTGCCGCCTAAGGTTAGGAGCCACAGCGAGGTGTGCACACAGAGGTGCGTATGACACTCCGGCGAGCGTTAAGCAACACACACACAGCACTTCAGCACCCTGTCACCTCTCCCTGAAAGTGACCAGGAGGTGTAGACAATGTGGTAAGCGACAGTTGGCACACCTGTCACCTGTCCCTTCACCTCTTTCTCGTCTCTCGCATCTCCCCACCTGCCTCCTTACTCCTCTCCCACCACTCCCTCCATCCCCTCAGTGTGTGGTTGTTTCCTCTCTGTTGCTGCTCACCCCACCCCACTCCTGCCTCACCAGCCGGGAATGCGAGCTCTGGACGTGGGGTCGGGAACGGGCTATCTCACAGCGTGCTTTGGCCTGCTACTGGCACCCACGGGGAAGGCCGTGGGGGTGGAGCATATACCAGGTGTGCTGGCCAGCTGCTTTTCTCTGCGTGGGGTGTTGAGTCGACTCGAAAAACGGGGAAATCTGTGAAAGTGGCGCTTATACCAGCTGTGCTGGCCTCTTGATCTTCACTTTGTGCCTAGCCGCGTAGCTATGTGTTGCAGCTCTGCTGTTATTTTTTAAATAATGTTCGGAACGGGGCGGAACGTGATTGGTACTGTGACATGCTCTGTGTATGTGCACGCTGTGTCCATTCTCTAGGTGTGGTTTAAAGTGCTCGGTCTCTGAGGCGCCTCAAAACCGCCTGAACAATGCGCCGTGGGGTGCAGAGTAACCTCATTCTCAAGTGCGGCAGTGCTTCATGAGGTGGACTCATAAGCAACCCCCGGCGCTTCATAATACTGTTTCACTCCCATTGTGTCTGCAGAGCTGGTTGAAGGGTCAAAGCAGGACGTGGCGAGGTGTGTGCCGGTGCTTCTTCTTGAGGAGTGGGCGTGGACTCAGAACTATCCCCCGCGCCTAATGATACTGTTCACTCCCATTGTGTCTGCAGAGCTGGTGGAGCGGTCGAAGCGGGACGTGGCGAGGAGCGCAGCGGGGCATCTGCTGGAGAGCGGGGTGATAGCGCTGCACACGGAGGATGGCAGGCAGGGGTGGCTGCATGACAGCCCATATGATGCCATTCACGTGGGGTAAGCAGAGGGGGGGTTGAGGACAGTGGGGGGAGGGAGAGGTTGGAGGAAAAAGGTTTCTATACGATAATTATCCTCTGTTAAGTACCTGTGATGTATGGTACAGGGCATGCAAGGGTGGTGCAGGGAATGGGGGGTTTGTGTGATCGGTTTTGCCTGCAGGTGCCAGGGTCTGAAAGGGAATTAGGAAGGGATGTGATTTCTCGGTGAGAGTTGGTGACGAGTTTCGTGGTGCTTCACCTTAGCGCGAGAAGTGTGTGTCTACAACTAGCCTGCCCTCTTTTCGACCATTGCTGCAAGTTACAACTCTCGCCACTCCACTCGCAACCTCACTCTCACTCACCCCAATCCATTCTCTGTCCCCCCCACTCTCATCCAGCTAGCCAATCCCCATGTTTCTGCCTTCCCAGTCCTCTCCCCGTTCACCTGTCCCATTCCCCTTCGTTTCCCCTTCCCCTTTCTCCCTTCCCGCTTCCCCCTTTTCGCTCCCCCCGCCCCCACCTTTCTCCTTTCCCTCTCCCCTTCCCCTTTCCCCCTCTCCCCACAATACCAGAGCGGCAGCGCCACAGATCCCACTGGCCTTGAAGCAGCAGCTGAAGGAGGGAGGGCGGATGGTTATACCCGTGGGCACGTGGTCACAGGATCTGCTCGTGGTGGATAAGCTGCCAGGTGGCCGCTTCAAAGAGAGCCACGTGGCATCTGTGCGCTACGTGCCACTCACCAGCAAGGACGAGCAGCTGGAGGGGTACTGAGGTGTTCTGAGGGGTGCTGAGGGGGCTGAGGGGTTTTGACAACCTGTTGGTGGATACGTTCAGGGGGCTAGGGTGTTTCGTGCCTGTAGAAATTAGAGGGCATGGGGGGTCTGATCTGAGGTGCAAGCAGAAGGGAGGAGGGAGGTATGTGTTGTTCTGGTGGATTACACTCTCTTGTGCTTTGTTGTGGCGGGTATGTGGCTGTGTGATGGCGTGTGCAGTCGTGTGTGCATATACTGTGCTGCTAAGGCACATGGGGTGGGGAGGGGAATGGGCAGGAATGGTGATGAGAAGATGTACTGTATGGGCGGAGGTGTGTACTGTTAGTGCGACCGTGGATGGATAGTTGAGTAGCAAGGTCTTGGGGATATAACTTGAAATGGTACACTTGTACATAGGGAGTTTTGCAGTGTGGTACATTTGGATGGTGCAAGTTACAGTACCGTACCGTAAGAACATGGTGATAAGGAAGGGAAGTGTGAGTTTTGACCACGTTTTGTCTACACAAACTTCTTCTGCAAGACATTGGCAACTTTTTGCGCTGAGTGCAGATATAGGTTGCTGTTTCCAGGCGTCGGAATGACTTGCTCCTAATGCGGATCCATTTCTGATCCTAGTGCAACCTACGGTAATTGAACAGAGTATATTGTTTTTTTTAGTCAATAACTACCAATCATACTGGATGACAATCAACCCGACAGTATGACATTCCCATCCCACCACACCACAATACCGTACCATTCAGGCCAACAGCTATCAGTACATACCGTTAACCAAAAACCTCTGGCTAAAATTTAATACCAAACCAGGGAGTAAATAACAGCGGACCGTAAATGTAGAGGAGAGCGTGCAAGACACATTGGCACCTCTGGTCGCATGAGGCAAGGTTCACTTCGTTCTGAGGCCTCTGAGGGCAGGGTGAGGGTGCGGCTCTGAGTGTTGAGAGGAATGAGAGGGGAAGGTAGAACGTGTGGGACATGTCCATGTCAGAATATGAGAAGGATGCAGTGTTGCAGGAAGGCAGGAGCGAGAGAGCAACAGATGGGTGGATGGATGAAGGGGTATGTGTATGAGGGGAGAGCGCGGATGAGGGATGAGGAGGGGTAAGGGAGTCATGGAGGGGAGGGGAATTTGGGGAGGAGTGATGTGAAGGAAACTGATAAGGGACGGAGGAGAGAGGGAGGGAGGGAGGGAGGGGGAGAGAGAGAGAGAGAGAGAGAGAGAGAGAGAGAGAGAGAGCGAGAGAGAGAGAGAGAGAGAGAGAAGAATGGGGGAGGGAGGGGGTATAAAGAATGGAGGGGGGGTGGGCTGGCGGAATGGAAGGCTGAGGGGTGGGGAGTTCAGGCCAGAGCGGAAAAGGCAGGGGGGAATCGAGAAATGGTGGTTTGAACTGCGCCCAAGGGAGCTGCTGCAGCGCGCAACTCCCTGTCGCAATGTGTCTGTCTGTTACCTGTTTACAACGACTACCATCCTAGTAACCAGCCCTGGTAACCAGTCTTAGCGACACGTGCCGGTCCTGCACAGGATGTTTGGACCCGAACCTGAGACCCGTGCTTCCGTTACGAACGGGCTTAGGTTTATCTCCTTGAGGTGAGACATGTGCATGTTGCTTCATTTATGTTCGCGTTAACTGCAATGTGTGGTGATAACACAATGCGGTGACTCACTTGACGCGCGCGAGAGGAGGAAGGGAGAGGAGGAGAGGGGTTGAGGGGGGAGATGGGGAAAGGGAGAAAGGGGGGAGATGGAGGGGGTGGACGGGGTATGGTCGTGGAGGGGACGGGAACGTATTACGGATCACTGTCAACAACATAATTTGAATATAAAGAGAAAATGTTACAGCAGCGAAATAATGTGCGAATTGAGAAGCCGAGAGGAGTGATTTCACACGGAACAGACACTTGCCAGGTATGCCGCCACGTGTCGCCCACTCCTCTCCCCTCCCCTCCCCTCCCACCCCCTCCATTCCAACCCCTCACTTATCGGACTGCGACGAGAACACGTCCTTAACAGCCGACGCGGCGGTGAGATAATTAAGCGTGCTTCTTAGAGTCTCCTTCTCGCGCTGGAGCCGCTCCGCCGTGTCTTCTAATTCCAGCAGCGCTTGCTGCTCCGCCGGCGCGCCTTCAAACGTCGACGCGACCCAGAAGGAGAAAGGCGTGGGGAAGGACGATTTCCGCAGATCCGGAACTTCCTCGTCGCTTCCGCGCATCTTATTCGACATCCGGATGACGTCATGCATGATGCTCGCGACCTCGTTCGCGAGCGAGTCGATGTCGACCGGCTGTTCTGACGGCTTGTCCTCCAGCCACCGCACGCGGCCGACTAGGTACGGCCGGCTGCGGACGATATCCACCACGCGAAACCGCTCTTCACCGCGACAGATTAGAAAGTAGCGGTTGTCGGGAAATCTTTCGTGCCGGATCACCTGACCAACGCAACCGACGGCGGCGGCCGTGGCAGCGTCTTTACCGGTGTAGATAATACCGAAGCGCATGTCGGTTTGCAACAGCGTTTGCATCATGATGCGATAGCGGAACTCGAAGATTTGGAGCGGGAGCGCGGTTCCGGGAAAGAGCACCAGCGGCAGCGGGAAAAGCGGTAGCTCCACAAGATCATCGTCACGAGAGTTGAACCTCCCGCCACTGCTGCCGCTGCTGCTGCTGCCGCCTTCCCCGCGAAACACGCTCGTTCGGAAATCGGGCCCCGCGCGGGACGCATACGACCCATCCGGAATTGATCGGGTGGAACGGCTCGCGGCGACGCTAGAGACGTCACGAATCCAGGAAGCGCCAGGTGCAGGCGCGGCGTGGGTTGGTAGCGCTCTGCCGGGAACTTGAGACGACAACGCGGGGAAAGTTGCGGGAAGTGCTTGCGCACGCGCGGATCTGTTGGCTCTGTTGCGGAGGGGCAGCCGTTCGGATGCTTGTCGGCCGGCGACAACGCGCTCCGATGAGTCAAGGAATCTTAGGGAAAGCTTAGGGGTAAATGACGAGGGATGGGAGGAAAGCATGAAATTGCCTCCTCCCAGAGATAGGTCTAAAAGCATCGTGCAACCCTGTGCACTAGGCAGGGAGGAATAATTACACTGAGGGAGGGCGCGCACGACCCGAAGGAGTAAATTTGGGAAGTAACTGGTGCTGCGAGTAGCCAGAACCCGCCTTTCCGTCAATTGCGTCTGTCACGTGAAATTCGGTTCGGAAGAAGAATTTAGGATCAAAATGATGCGAATAGTCAGTCAGTAAGGCAGTAGAGCAAAAGAAGGGCACATGAGTGGAAGGGCGAGGAAAGTGGGGTGCGCTGCGGTGAGTGCGATGGTGGCTGTGCGATCAGTGGCGACTAGATTGTTTGAGAGAGTGTGCGACAGCGAAAGGCGCGCAACAGGGGGTGGTGGGAGGGCGGAGGGAAGGGGGAGAAAGTGTGGGGTGAGCGGGGCTGAACGAGGAGGGCGGGGGCTGGAGGGGGGATGTGGCGGGGGTCAGAGTGGGCAAGGCATCAAGAACACATGCATGCTCCAGGAGCTTTTCATGAGGGGCTGCTTGGAGTGTTTCGACGAATGCGGGAGAGCCACGTGGTTGCGGTCGGGCAGAAACGTCTTGCGAGAATCGCGAAGAGAGGGTTCAGTCAGTGCCCGTTGAACACTTCCAAAAAAATTGGATCCCATCTCATACCCATTCTGTCGAGCTCGTCTGTTATGGCACGTCGTGGCAGTTAGCGAGTGAGGCTAGTCCACGCAAGCAGGATACCACGTGGACACAAAGATCTCACTCAAGCTTTGTACGACAGAGATCCACCCACCTTGCCAACAAGCTTGATATGTGAGGGGAAATGCTGCTGTACTCTTCAAGAAAACTCATCCGTTTATACTAATTGAAATTCAGAACATGTTACGAGTGCAATTGAGAGAGCGAGCTAGAATTGCACTATCGAAGCAAAACAGTACATTGAGTGAAGGAATGAGCGAAGACTACATAGCGAAGACCCAAGTGGTAACGGTAATGTGTGAAAATGGGGTGCGCTGTTGGAATAACCGAGAAGTTATCATAACATTCCTGAAGGCTCTCCACTCATGTGTCACTCCATAACGAAGCAACGTGGCTGTATCAGTACCGCAATAGCTCATATAGAGCATACGGAAGATCGAGAATCACCCAAAGTTCAACAGTCGTAGGCAGTCAACGGTCGTGACCCTTGACCGTCCAGTAACCGAACGGCAGTTAGACGTTACAACATGGTAACTGTCGTGAAGAGAAATAGTCGTGGTTACAGTAGCAATGTAATTCAGCTAATAAGGAAATGTGTTAAGAATTAACAAGCAGGAATGATTGCATTGAATGAATTGTGGGTACAAGTACTAACCCTAATATTGGGTTGTACCCCACATGGGCTACCCCACTATAGCCTACACACAACTAGCACAGATATGGTTTGACACACCCCCATAGGCAAAGTGGGGGAGAACAAGGGGTCACAAGACCAGACAGGAAAAAACAAAGCAAGCTCAGGGTGGATCACAACGTCACCACACATTCCGAGCACAAGCAAAGGGGCCACAAGGCCAGTTCACATGCAGAGGTATATATGCAACAACAACAACACAGTGATCACTACCTAGCAAGAGTAAACATGCAGGTATATATATATATATATATCACAGTACAACCAGAGTCTACAGCAAGTGAGGAAACGTAGGCACCAGGCCTAGAGCAGTGCAGAAGCGCTGATGATCACCAGCCGGAAGGGCCTTGGAGAATACATCAGCCGTGTTGGCCCGGATGGGCACGTGAGCGACACGAAGCTGACCACGCTGCTGCAACTCTCAAGCAAGGAAGTAACGCAGAGCGGTGTGCTTCGTTCTGTGCTCTAGTCTGTGGTCCTGACACAAGGCAATGGCAGCCTTGTTGCCGACGTACAGAACTGGAGGAGAACGAGGCCTCTCTCCCAAGTCGATCAGCAGGTAGGTGAGCAAGCGTAGCTCATGTGCAGCCATGGCTGTGGCG